CGGGACGACCGAGCCGGAGAGACGCGGGACCGCGCTCCGTTCGCCTCGCACCGAGGCGTCAGGGCTCGCGGGAGGCCTTTTGGCCGTAGACATCGACAAATGGCAGGGCACGTTCTCCGGCAGGAGGCGGGCTTTTCCGGCATCCGGCCCAATCGTCATCGCGAGTATCTCAAAGGCGAGGAGACTGACGGCCGAGTGGGAGTTGGGGGCCCCTCGGCAATGTCTCAGCCAATGGGGGTCGAGCACGGAACCAGGCTCATCCAATTTCCTCCACCCCGATTCCTTCAGCGTGGGCCAGTCGTGTGACCTTTCGAGAGGGTGCTCGCGCACTTCGGATAAGTTTGACCCTCACGCGCTCCTGTAACGGCGTCGGAAGTGGAGGGGTTTACTTCGCGGAGAGGACTGCTCCGGAGGCCGCGCAGTCGGGCGAGATCCGCGAGGCGGAGGCCGCTTGGTCGGTCCATCCTTAAACCGCGACCTCGGCCTTCGCGATGGATTCGTGGGTCCGTTTCAGCGCCCAGAGCCAAGCCAAGGAGCGGGTCTTCAGGTCGGCACGAGCAGAGGGCGGTAGTTGCAACCCGGGGGTGGCTCCTCACTGAGAAACTGTAAGCCGGGCTCGTCGTCCCCGGCGCCGCGTTTGAAGGGCAGCGGGTTTGGTTAAGCTTGGCTAGGTGACCTCGAAGAGTCGTGCTATCTTTTTAAAAATATATTTTATATCTAAAACGGAAAAAAAACCCGAACAGTTCTTACATAGAAGATAACTTCTAATTTTCATTTTATGTGAGAACTATTCGTTTTTTTTGTTTTTCCGTTTTACATATAAAATATATTTTATTTGATCTCAGGGTTAATTCGTTTTTTAGACTCTCCTTTTGGATTTTAAAATATTGGTTTTTAAATATTGGTTTTTAAAATATTGCTTAGCTGCCTCGAATACACTAGAGAAATACGGATCAGATAAAACTGAATACACATTCAACCTCTATTACAGTTAATTTATTCATAAACAAGTCTATTCATTTAACCAAATTAAAAGATAGAAAATTAAATATTTAAGATAGCATAGGCAGTCCAGGTTTCTAATTTTTTATTTGATCTGGACATCCAGTGATAAAATACTTGTTCAGTTATCAGAAAGAGGTAAGCTCTTTGAAGGCCCCTTCTAGCTCTATAATAATTATAATAATAATAATTATTATTATTATTATTTCATGTTATTTCTGTCCCACCTTTTCAACTGAGAAGACAAAGTATATTAAACAGGTATCTTACTTTCTTTCCACAGTCTTGTGAGGTAGGCTGAGCTGAGATGAATGACTGCCCCAAATCAGCCAGTGAGTTTGGTATCATAGCTGGAACTTAAAGCTCTGTTTCCATTGTACCAACCACTTAACGGCTATTGATCATTCACATGAGGATTCTTTCTTTCTTGTATTACTAGGTGGCATCATGCAACCTTTAAGTCAGCTGGAATTGAAGTTACAATAGTTTATCTGGGGATTACATGAATCTCCCTGATAACACAATTTACAATCTGTCATATATTGTATTTGCTTGCTTTATATATACTGTATTGCTTTGCAAGTACTTTATTTTTAGAATTCATGGAAAGCATTTGGACTAAGTTGGATTAATCTTAAAGGTAGTTGTCTCATTGATTTCAGTGGTGCTTTTCACTGCAAACATGGGCTTGCACATAACTAGGGCACAATCATACCCTTTCTCACTTGTCCCCCTGACATTGCCTTCCTCTCATCCCCACCCCATAAGTGAAAAAGGCTTAAGGTGCCCTTAATTGTGTCAGTCTAAATTTTTATCTCTCCCCCACCCACATTCCGACACTGTCCATAGATAGCTTCAAGGTGGCTACCTTGCAAGGAAGTTGGGTGTCTGTCGGTAATTGGGAACAGAGGCAATGGAGGCAGCATAGGGATCAGCAATGAGGACATCAAATCTCATGCCGGTAGGTGATAGCAAAAATACTGCATTTCGTTCCTAGAAAGTGGAACGCTAATTTCCTTCCTTCCTTCTGCAGAGATGGTATTATTTACTTACGTACATGTAATCACATAGGGCAAGATAATATGAGTGTCAACTGAAATATAGGTTAAGCAAACCGTATGTTGAATTTTTCCTCTAATACTAAAACCCAATAATGAGAAAACTCTATTGATTAGTGGGAAAAATGCTTTTTCAAAAATGGATAAATTACATGTGACTGGAATCTGATCTTTAGTATCTAGAATAATAATGCTTGTCCAATTTCTCAGAATCTTAGCAATTGCCCATACCCTATGCAACCTAAGTTCTTGGGGGGGGAAAAGTCAGATTCTATATTTCTGGAATATAAGTCAACTTAACATTCACATTAAGAGATTTGACCATAAACCTACTTATATATACTGTATATTAAAATATTGTTCCAGTTTTATATGTATATGTATGTATATTCATTCCAAAAAGATGCCAGTAACAAGACCAAATCATATGAGTTAACCTCCTCAAATTTTTTACAATGCCACAGAGAAAATCTGACATCCATCCTTTAAAATACATTCTTTAGGGCATCCAATAAAGTCAAAATTAAATTATTTTGCTAAATAACTTTCAGCCTTAAATCTGATGAAACCAATTTACCATTCTTTAAAACTTGCAATCATTGATGTTCCATTATCAGATATTTCCAATTTTTTATTTCTATACGTACAATTTTAGTGATTTCAACTTTAAAATTATTCTTTAATTTTTGATGCAAATACAATGTTGATTTGGTTTCAGAAATGGACTTCAGTAGAAGAGAAAGATCTCAGGTTTCTTTGAAGCAAGTAAACCATCTGATCATATTGAGCTGTCAAGACTTGCTTGAGTTGTAATTATATAACCACTGCAATGAATTACGCAAGCAAAATTCTATCTGAAGTCAAGAGAAACCTTTAAAATAATAATCACCAAATAATTGATTTAAAGTAACTATTCTAGATTCCACCCATGGAAAAGTTTCTTGAAATATGGAACAAATGGGAAGTGTATAAATGCAATCTTCCAGCTAATGTGAAATCCCACACCTAGTAACAGTCATTAGATCTTTTGGAGCTGGTAGGCTACCAGCTGGATTCCTATAGAGTTTTGATCATTTCCAACAGGTTAAAAGGTCTCCAACCTGAAAAATCTTTCTTGCAACTTTAAGGCATGCCTGAGGTATCCTAGAGGTGCTATGATTCATTGATGCTGAAATGGAGTAGATGGCATTCAGTTGCCTATAGCAGTGGGCCAGCTATCTAGAAATAGCTTAACAGATTCATAATGCAAAGAGTATATCCAGTGGGCAATCTGCCTATTGCACCATAACTGAAACAGTCATGCCCAAAAGCTCATTTCCTAGTGTGTTGCAGGAGATGCATCTGAATAATTAAAGATTCCTTCAAGACAACCCAAAGGCATCTCTCCTATTCAAAGAACAGGGTGCCTTGTAGCAACATTTACTTTTCTGGTGGTAACAACACCCCACCCCCCACCCATCAGCCACCCTCTATATAATACATTACATCATTATTTGTGAAACCATGGTTTAATAAATAAACTACAACTGGACTGGGTTTGCACAACGTACCGAGCCATTAAGCAATGCCTTTGCAACTGATCAAAAAGGAGATTTTTTTTACATATATGTGGCAGTATTGTATTTTGATGTAATTTAAGCCCCACCACTGGGCAGTTGTCTTGTGTTTTGCTTTTGGTCATTGAAATATTGGATTAAAACAATACACTATACCAAAACCAAACAAATTAAATCATGGTATAGCACAATATGTAAATTCAGCCTGTCCCTGTGCTTTTGTGGTCCTAGACAGAGATGTAGCAGAGAAATACAATGTCCTTCCCTTGTGTTTAATCAAAAGGAATGGCCAGGTCACAGAAACCTCATAGACTTGATGGACCTTTTCCATTTTAATTCAGAGAAAACAAGTACCTGCTTCAATATCTTTGAAAAACATCTTAAATCCTCATTGAAGCAGGATGGAAGGGACAGTGTGCCTGCAACTCATCTTGACTGTGTCCTCTTAAAAAAAAAAAAAAGTCCTATAGCCTAGTTTCCTGGATTTAGAATTCTAATTCTGCTTGCTTAATTTAATAATGCACCTAGAATGGTTTTGAAATATGCCCTTGTCTTTCTCCCCTTCCCCTCTTTCAAAACTCACTGGCTGCACTTTATAACGCTACAGACCCTGTTCTCAGATTGTCTGCTAGCTGTGTCAGATTGACGTTACCTGGGATTAATTAAAAGGGACTCTGTTTTTTTAAAAGTAATAGCAAATTTGTTTTATTTGTAAATCATTGTTGTAACATTTTATGATGCCTCCTGCATTAATTTTGAATACATATAACTGTTCACAGTGCCAAGGAGGAATGCACATGTGAATATATTCTGGCATACATAATTGTGTGTGAGAGAGAATATGTAAATATAGATAGGCTGTCCCAAAGATAGAGCCCTCCAGATGTGTTGGAATATAATTCTTATCATAATCTTAATACAACAAATCTGGACCACACCAAATTGGGGGATGATCACTTGTCCTATAACTCCTCTCTTCTTTTTATTTACTTGCCTTGCCCACCTTTTGAGGCAGCCGTGTCCAGATGGTTCTGTGAGGACTATGCTAGACTCTCTAGCTGACAAATCTCTGTTGCACCTCTTTACTGTTTGTTCCTGTATTATGCCTAGGGCTGCCCAGTATGCCTGCACTCTACTAAGCTATGCTCTACAGAAGAATGGAGCTGGGCCTGATTTTCTTGCTAGGATCAAGCAGCTGGAGGCTCATTTGAGTTTGGGACGCAAGTGTAAGTGTGAAGGGAATGGACTGGTATGGGAGGGCAGAGTTACAATGGGCTTTGGGTTAAGAACTGCATAGGTTTTTGATGTGATTTTTTTTCCTTTGGCCATTTTGGATTTGTGAAGCATTTATTTTTGTTATTTGGCAGAGAAGACTATCCCAACATTCTCTTTCTTGTTTATGCTGCTAAGAGCATCTTAGAAGACCAGGGGCAATGCCCATCCTTGTTGGTATTCAACAGCAAACCCATTTTTTAATCTGTAGCCAGTGACCAATTTTTATTTCTTTATCAATTTGCCTGATCTCCCTTTAAAACTATAGGACCTTCTGGTTGCCATATTGCTGGCAGGGGATTCTGTAAGTAGTTCAGGAAGTAGTACATGCCCTTTGGAACATCATTCCCCTGAGGTGAGATTGCCCCTGGCCCTATTGACCTTCCAGGAGCCCCTGAAAACCTGGTTTTGCCATTGGGCCTGAGGATCCTATAGAAATATGAAGCCTGCAAAATAGTTGTATCATGTGTAAGATTTTGATTGCACTCTCCCATGTTCTTTGTTTATAGTTTTTAATTCTTTTTAACAGTTTTGTTGTAATTGTTTTTGTTAATTTTTTGCTTTCCTATTTTAATTGTGTGAGCCACTCAGTCACATATGTGAGATGAGTGACTGTATACATTCAACAAACAAATAAATAAATTGTTTTCTGGCTCAGCTGCTATTTAGATGTTGCATGACCATGCTATTTACCTATAGGTGGAAAAGCTGACCCGCTCACTTTCTGCATATCACATCAAATTTTATAAACTAGGTTTCCCAATATATTCATTGCCTATTTTTTTAAAACTTACTCCTCCATCAATGTTGGCTTTCTTCTATGTGATTCCCTTGACTCTGATCTTTTCTGCATGTTTTCCAGCTCTGTGATACCCTTTTTCAGCTGGGTATCCTTTTTCAGACACGATATTCTAATTTTATTTTTATCTGTTCTATTTCATGTGAGGTATTTAGGTTACTGGAAGATAGATTCTTGTTAAATGTTAGAAAAAATATTCTAGGAGAGCAATTCAGCAATTATCTAATTCTAATATTCTATTTCACATGGGGTATATACAGTATTCTAAGCATTGTATAGAGTTGTATACATCTTTACAATGTTGTGAGCCTAATTTCAATTCCTTTCCCAGTTACAGATATTTATTTGGCCATAACCTATGCTGGCTGGGAATTCTGGGAGTTGTAGTCCTCATATACCTGAAGAGTACTTGGGTGGGAAGGGCTGCAATATAGGTATGTCTCATTTAGTGACTGCCTCAGACAGTGACCATTCTTAGTTACAGTGGTGATGAAAAAGGAATTTTGTGACCAATTTACAACCTTCACAGCCTCTTTCTCTCTTTCTGTCACGTATTCACCGTTACAGTCAGTTAGTACACATCCTCTGCCTGACCCTTTCTCTCCCCCCCCCAAACATAGAGGTTTCCTGAGCTGCTTTTCTCCACAGCACAGCACTTCCCTAAAAAGTGCTAATTGCAAGTTAACCTCAGCTCTCTGACCTTAATTAATTGATCGGAAGCCTCTGGCCAGCTGGTGCTGCTGCCTGACACTGACAAGACTCTAATCAATCTTACACTAAAGACTTTTCTTTTTTGCCTCCTAAGAGCTAGCACATTCCTTTTGTGTGTATTCCCCATTGTGTGCCTGCTTACTCTCTTGTAATCTCTTCCTCTCCATTTCAACAATTTCAATAGATAAAGGGGGTATAATATAACAAATATCATGCACAATTTACATTTTGGAATCCATTGTGTAATTTAAATAAACATAAATGCAAATTTTGCATGGAAAAAGTAAGTACACCCCTACATTTATCACTGTCTCAAATACCTAAAAATTAGAATCAGGTGCAAGTGATTAGAACATAGTTAAAGAGGATCTGGGAGAAACCTGTCTTATTGAATCCTCAGACATTTAGTTGGATTTGCTCTTTGTTGTTGAAGTGTGTCAATCACCATGCCTAGATTAAAAGAGTTTTGATGGAGAGGCAGATCACCATCATAGAATTTACTATGAATTCTTCATTGTACCAGAAGGTGCTTCAGGAAAATGTGAGACCATCTTCAGAAGATTGAAGTTCAACTGAAAATGGACCTTGCAACATGACAATGTTCCTAAACATTCCAGTAAATCCACCAAGGAATGGCTGAAAAAATACAAGGTTCTGGAATGGCCAAATCAAAGCCCAGATCTAAATCCCATCAAGATGCTATGAGGTGATTTGAAACAGGCTGTGCATGCAAGAAAACCCCAAACATTGCACAGCTGGAAAAAAATCTGCATGGAGGGATGGGGAAAAATTCCTCCTGGTCAATGTCAGAGATTGGTAAACAGTTACAAGAAGTGCCTATTTGAGGTTGTTTCTGCCAAAGGGACAATCTCAGTTATGACAGTCAAGAGGGTACTTTTTCCATGTGCAAAATATGCATTTATGTTTATTTAAATTACACAATGGATTGCAAAATGTAAATGGTACATGATATCCCCTTTATTAGTCTTTGTTGAAATGAAGATCAAATATCTATATGTTGAAATACATTGAAAAAGTAAAAAAATTCAATGGGGTATACTTACTTTTTCACATGACTGTAGGAGATCTTTTGGAGATTTCTTCTTCGCTTTGGCCATCTTTCTCACCCACAGTGCTCAGCCAAGTGAAATAAGTTGTTTTAAGGATTCTCCCAGGTAATCACTTACTATTCCTCCAGCAGTATTTCAGGGCATCTCCCTTGGCGAGCTGTGGAAGTGAACCAAAGGTGGAATGTGCACATCAATGTCTCTGGCTTCCTTTCTAGTATTCCGGCTGGGGAACTCTGCTGATGCCCTGGAGGCAGCCAAAAGAGCCATCCATCTGTCAGATATCGTCCTTCGTTTCTGCATCACAGTGAGCCATTTGAACAGAGCCATGTACTTTGCCTGTGACAACATCTTGTGGGCAGGGAAATCAGGCCTCATTCCACACATGGACCAGGAAAAGTGGAGTCAGCGGTCATTCAGGTGAGGTGGAATTCCCTTCCTCCCAGCTGGCTTTGTGTCCTCTACTTGAGGGCTCCAGGTTGTGGAGGAAATTGCTAATTCAACCCTGAGAACGCAAAGCAAATTTTATAAAAATAAAAGCTTCAGAATACCCCAAAAACTCCACCATTCAACCCTGAGCTACATATATTCTCTTCTATTGATCCTTTGAACTTTGAATGATCATCTACAGATACTGTATGCCTGTAATAGCTAAAGTCCAATATAGATGGGAAGAGAAAACTCTGGGATGAGGCTTTTGTGTGTGTGTGTGTGTGTGTGTGTGCGCGCGCGCATGCGCACGTACACACACACAAAAGAGGCTTTGGTAATTTTGCATATGGATTTTTTTTTTAATTTTTTTATCCCACCTTTATTATTTTAATAAATAACTCAAGGTGGTGAACATACCTAATACTCCTTCCTCCTCTTTTCCCCACAACAATAACCCTGTGAGGTGGGTTTGGCTGAGAGAGAGGGACTGCCCCAAAGTCACCCAGCCGGCTTTCATGCCTAAGGCGGGACTAGAACTCACAGCCTCCAAGCAATGCAGGTCAAGACGTTGGGGTTATAGTAATTAGAAGCATACAGTATTTCTCTCTTTGCCAATTACATTTGAGTGAATACTTACATTTCTCTATAATAATAGTAATTAATAATGGAAATAGAAACAGCTATAACTTCAAGTACTGTACAGAAATTGCAGTACAAGATGGTCTTGCCCTTATTGTCAAATAGGCCTAGTGGAAGATGAAGAAGGAAGTATTCGAAGGGACACCAGATTTAGGCATCTTGTGTTATATAATACATACTAGAAAGCAGATTCTGGTTAAATGTTAGGAAAAACATCCAAAGCAACTACTTGGTGCAAAATACCAAAGCAGAACTGCTTCAGCCTATGTTATCCATGTAGGGTTGTTTTTCAGTCATTCAAAAGCTCCACCCTTGACAGGCAAATTTGCTGAAATTTGTAATTCAATATGGAATCAGTCAGAGATGAGGTGCTCTTCTTGGGATCAAGTGAGGGCTGGGGAGACATTTATTAGGGAGGCTTTTTTGGATTCCTTCACTGAGCAGAGATTGAACTTGATAGTTTTAAAATAATGCCTTCCAGCTGTATGGTACTTTGATATAAGCTTGTCATGAATATTTGCAAAACAGGAGAGCCACCAGGGTTAAGCACATCCATTAGAACATAGCACTTAAATTCAGCTACCATTTCTCAAAAGAGTTGCATAGTCTTTTTAGCAAATCTGCCTGTCAAGGGTGGAGCTTTTGAATGACTGAAAAACAGACCCACGTAGACAACGTAGGCTGAAGCAGTTCTGCATTGGTATTTTGCGCCAAGTAGTTGCTTTGCAGGTAAAAGCTCAATTTTGTTATTCCAGCTAGGATTTCAGGATATTTTACTCTTTCTTCACACTTTTCAGGTATTACCTCTTTGCGCTGATTATGAACTTGAGCCGGGATGCCTATGAAATCCGGCTCCTGATGGAGCGTGAGATGAATGGGAAATATCATAAAGGTAGCTGCAGAAATGACAGATTTGCACCAGGGGAAGACCATCGATTCCAGCAGCTGGCCCTGAGGCTGAAACTGCAGCTCTGTCTCTTGGCACAAGTGCTTCGGAAAAACCCTCCCCTGCTCCTCGATGTGATGAAAAATGCATGTGACATTTTCATCCCCTTGGACAAGTTGGGCATGTACAAGAGCAGTTCAGGTTTTGTGGGGCTCTGTGGCCTGACATCATCCATCCTTTCCATCCTCACAATCATCCACCCGTGGCTGAAGCTGAAACCTTGATTGGAGCTGATAGGGCTAGTTAGCTGAGGTGCTTCCTCCCCCTAAATTTCTCACTCCAGGAACTAGCCTGGGGTGCCAGTAACATGGTAGAGCCAGCCAGCCAGTGGCTGTTTGGGGAGCGTGGGTTGCTCGGAATTGGGCTGCTTTGGGGAAAGGAGGAGGGACCCTTCTTTGGCACTCTCTAAGTCAAGGCCAGCGGTTTGCCAGCAACTCTTTTTGTGGCCTCGGTATTTGGGTTATTGGGAAGGGGTTAATTGGAGCAACATTCTTGTTATGTCCAGTTTATTTAAGGTTGAGAAACAAGAAACAAAATCTGTGCTATCCATTTGGTAGACTAATGAGGATCTTCCTGACAGACATGATGAAGTTATGTCCCTTATCAGCTAGAGAGTGGGAGACAGGTGAAAGCGGGCCCTTTGTTCACTGTGTTCAGTGCCTCTCGGCTTTTTATTAATAGAGGAGTTGGGAATGGCCAGAGGTTTGAGGACATGAAGAATAAACATTTGGACACCAGACTGAGCTCTCTCCCTTAACCCTCTGTTTTATATTAATACTGTATTAACTCTGTTAATAGGGATATGTGATTTATAGATCAGTGTTGTGATCTATGGCACTATTCAATTGTGTTGGATTCTTTTCCTCCCTCAAAAAATAAATATTTTTAATAAAGATAACCTTTGAAATCTAGAGCTAAATGTGGCCATGTTTTTTCTCTGATATATTTTGTTTTTGTAATTTACTGCTTACTGACAAATTTGGACGGGTTTTCCATTTTGTGGTATACTTGTAATGTGTAATTTCCCCAATTTCATATTTTGTTCACTTTTAAGGGAAAGAGAGATTGGTGAAACCAAGAACATTTTCAGATTTTAAGTAGATCATGGATCAGTTCTTTTTCGATTTGGGCATAATACTTTCTTGAAAATCTTTCTTAAACCTCTGTTAAACCCTAAAATCATTCTTAAACCTCTATTTGATAGAAAATGCTTTTCAACCCTTTTTAAAGAAGGCCTCTCTGAGATATGCAAGCAAACTATGTACTTCTAATACACTCCATTTTTATCATAATTCTGAACTGTCAATTGCACAATTACCCTTGTTGTTAGGTTTCCCCTTGAATACAGTTCTGTGCTGGACTCCATTTTGTGGTATACATTTGTAATGCCTAATTTCTCTGGATTCGTGTTTTGTTCACTTTTAAGGGAAAGAGAGATTGCAGAAACAGACATTTTCAGATTCTCCATGTTACATAGATCATTGGCCAGTAGTTCCTTTTCAATTTCAATAACATTAGATATATTAATCCTCTATTTGATAGAAAACGCTTATCACATTAGAAGCAAGAATGCGTTATGTGAATTAAGGGATGCAAAAGATGGAATTGCAAAAACTGCAGAACCCTAAGGTGAAAAAGTTAAAGGTATGTGAAAACACCTGGGGATATTGGGGAATTCTTCACACCACCCCATGGGAGAGGAACTAGTTTTGATACTCTCCTGTGGGCACTTCCCTGTTAACCTCGTTCTGTTAAATTAGACATGGAAGTCTCTAAAGCTCTTCCTCTCCCCAGTTAAAATCCATCAGTGAACTTCCCCTCCAAAAGGGAGAGAGATCCTATAAACTTGGTAGGAGGAAAACAGTGCATATTTTCTTGTCTGTCAGGTTTTGAGTATAGGAAAAGATGGATCCACAAGACTGCAAAGATCGCAGTTCTGGCATTAATTAAGCCTGATAATCTTCGCAGTAGGACTTAGAGATTTATAAGTGTGGAATTCTTACCCTTTTTGAACTCTTGAGTCTTCTATTTTGCTCTTTAATTGGGGTTTATAATTAGATTTTTATTATTTAGATGGATATTATCCTGCTATATTTTCCTGAATGAGAGCCAATTTGGTGTAGTGGTTAAGGCACCCTAACCGAAATTCTGCCTTAGGCACGAAGCCAGCTGGACGACCTTGGCCCAGTCCCTCTCTTAGCCCTAGGATGGAGGAAGCCAGGACAAACCACGTCCAAACATCTTGCCAAGAAAACTGCAGGGATTAGTCCAGGCAGTTGCCAGGAGTCAACTTGAAGGCGTGCATGCACGCGCACACGCGTATATAGCTTCCTGAACTATTTTTTCAACTATCAGTTTGAATATTCCCAAACAGACATTTTTAATGGATTCATTTTATTGTTTCTTACTCAAGACTGCCATTGCTTTAAATGAATCTGGACCAGTTTTTTAAATACATATTTATTTTAACCACAAGAGGGTTCTCAAACATCACATCATAACAAGCTACAACATTTGGCCACAATCCCAAGTGTTTATATGAGAGGTGCATGTCATGGAATATAATGTTCTTTCAACAATATCAGGAAATGCAGACTTCTGTTCTTCATACACAGTACTCTTCTATGCTTGATTTCAATATTTTCAGATATGCAGCACAACAACAAAAGAATTACAGAAGGGGGAATATAGCGTAACAACAGAATTTGAAAATCTAACACAGTACGTAAGGCTGAACATGTTAGGTATAGTGTGTGGAATACCACAAATTTGTGGGTTTTAACTGCAGTTCTTTATCATGGAAGTCATGTCCTAACTCAACACACCAACAAATATTAAAAATATTCTGTAATTTCATGAAAAGTGGTCATAATCCATCAGTCATGTTTTGATCTAGTCTTTGGCCCATAATTCTTTTAGTCCATCATTCTTTTAGCCTATATCCCTAGCATGGACTTGCAGTTCCTTGCACCTGTACGATTTTCAACATAGCTTTTCTATTATTGATATAAAAAGGTTGGGTAAGCCTGCAGACATTCCATTCAAGTGTTCTCTTGATTTTTGCGTGTCCAACACATTCTTAACAACACTTAGCAACAAAATGCAGCATGCACAAAAAGGGTAATTTAGCTGAATTCCTAGCTGAATACAAGGCCCAGCTCTCTTCTGGCAGAAAATTGGAACTGGAAATTGGAATTGGAAAAATTGAACCTTTTAGGAGAGCAGCTGGCACTGTGTATCTTCTTGGGTTTTGTAATAGTGTCTTTGTTACACAATGTTGATACAAATTAAAATTCCTACAGGAATTTTTACTGGGGAAGTTACGTTTATAACTTTTAAAGTCTATTCCCCCCTTGTACTCCCTCAACAACAATGCAGTTGGGCTGCAGGATAGGATTCTTTAGACAGTGTCCCATCTTAAGATTGTTGGTATATTACCGCATAAAGACACTTTATTTAGATTTAAACTATTCCTATTGATCTAGTTTTCAAATTTAAGATGGAGGTTTCAAACTAAGATCTAGTTCAGGGTTTTGCAGGTTTCATTTCTGGCTGCAAAATATTTGCAGGTCTTTGTATTTTGTGATTTTCTTCTTTCTCTTTCTCTTCTTTCTCTTCTCTTCTGCTGCCTCCAGGTATTGCAGTGTCCACTATCCAGACTTTTTGGTCTTTCTTATCCACAATGGCTAAGTCTGGGTGTTATGTGGCAGGTGCTTGTCTGTTTGAATCCTAAAGTCCCATAGCACTTCAGCTTCTTCGTTTTCTATGACTTTGCCTGTTTTGTGGCCCTACCAGTTCTTGCTTGCAGGCAAATGGCATTTCTTGCAGAGATTCCAATGCACCATTGTTGCTACTTCATGTTGTTTGTATGTCTGGGCAATCTTCTTGCAGCAGCTAATTAGGTGGTGGTCCATTGTTTCTTCAGCTTCCTTGCAAAGGCAGCTGTCTGTTGCTGTCTTCTCAATTCTGGCTTTATATGCATTTGTTCTTAAAGCTTGGTTTTTTTGTGTAGCCAGAACTTTCCTGCTCTTAGCCATTGCAGGGCCTTGTTATCTGCTTTGCCTGCTAGTTTTTTGTGTACTGGCCATGTAATACTTTGCCTTGCCATGTCTCTTTTCTATTCTTCATTTGGTCTGTCTTGTAGGCCAGTTTGGTCTCTTCAGTAAGCCTTCATGGTGCATGTCTTCACTGTCTTTCAGATATTCTTCCATGCCCTCTTTTCTTCTTCATCTGGTGTAACATTCCACGCCCACCTATGCTCCTTGGTAAGTAGAGTATGTCAATGTTGCTGTGTGGATGAAGGGCATGATTCATTGTCATTATTTTTCTGGTGTTCCTATCCAGGGCTTCTGCTTCAGTTGTCCACTATTCCAGCTGTGTGTCTAATGACTGGAATTGCCCAGGTGGTTTGCCTTGATGGTGACTGGATGACTGGAATTGCCTTGATGGTATTTCTTCCACTGAGCTTGGACTTTAAGATCTTCTTCACTCTCATGATGTATTCACTCCTAGCCTTCTACTTGACTTCAGCGTGCTTGATGTTGTCAGCTTGAAGGATGCCCAGGTATTTGTAGCGATCTTCTTCATCCAGACTCTTGATGTTATTTCCATAGGGCATCTTGATTCCTTTGGTTTTCACTATTTTTCCCCTATCGATGGTCAGGGGGACATGTTTGTCCAGTCCAAACTCCATTGCAATATCTTGGCTGTATGTTTGGGCAGTGTTTTTTTTTTTTTAATATTTTTTTTATTTTTACAACAAACACAAAACATACATGAACAGACAAAAACATAGAAAGGCATAAAAAAAGCATCTTCCATTTTATACCGTGTGTCAACCAGTT